CTCCAGAAAGAGAATTAATGGACTCAGAGTAAATATTGAAGCATATATGTTCTATTTCTTTCCTTTTCTTGCTTTTATTCTATATCAGGACATGGCTAATGCAGAAATTTATTTTGCATGCCTAGAAATAATATTGATGCATGTATTTTCTATTTGTTTTTCTTGCTTTTATTCTGTACTGGGACATAGCTAAAGCAGAAATTTATTTTGCATGCTTAGAAATATTTATAATGGTTTTTATTTTCCTTATTTCTTTGTGGGTGAAGGAAGGGAAGAGGAAGAAAATTTAAAAATGAAAATAATATTGAATTTAGAAAACAAAGAATGAGGCTTCAATAGCTGTCATATAACAACACAACTAATACATTAATTTTAATAGGTAAGTAAAAATGTTTTATTAAACTGGAATTTCAAAATTGTTATGTTATATTTATAATAAATAATATGAGCTGGATTCCAACTGGTTATCAGATAGTGATTCTTTTTTCTTTCATTATATTTAAGCTTAATTTATCTGTTAAAATGGTGTTACAATCTCAAGGTTCCTGGGATACAACTAGGAGTTGTATCTATGTTAAGTTAAGTTAAGACTATGACATGGATGTAGGATAAGTTGATAGCAGTTGAGATAATTGAGTAGGGAATTCTTTCTCCAGGATGGGGAGACCAGTGTAACAGGAACTGGCTGCTAAATCATTGTTGGGTTAAACAACTGTTATATTCTCAGTAATCTAGAAAGTGGAAAGTCATCTATATGACAGGAGGAACAAGATGGGTTTCCAAGTTGACAAGGAAAAGGTACAGACTCAAGTGAAAATATTTGGAGTGACAAGATTCATTCTAGGACAAACAGCTTAATATTACAGTAAGGTTCTAGTCTTGAAATGTGAGGAGTGATGCCTCAGACTCCAAGTTTTTTGCACTGCTGTTTTCTAAGCACTGTTTGGGGGCCAGTCTTTGGCAATTTCTCCATCTCTAAGCCTTGGCTAGGAACTCCAGCCATACTGTCACTGAAAATGCCCTTGTTCCCTGGCTGCAACTTCAGCTCTCTCTTCTGCCCTGAAACCAAAACCAGGCACTCCACTCTTCTACAAGTGCCCACAGCCCACAGTCATCCTCTTTTGCTACCATGTTCACTGGGCATGAGCTCATTTCTCCTCACCCACAGCCACAGCCTTAGGCCATGCTGTGTCAGCATAACTCAACCTGGCATTTCATGACAATGGAGGTCCTTCAGTCTTTCCCTACTCATATATCTGATCCCTCAATCAGGTAAAAATCCCTGCGATCAAGGATGGACCCAGTTGCCCCCAGGATTTGGTGTTTGTTGATTCAGCTGAGTTGGCATAGAGATGTTTGTCCCCGGAGCTTAGGTCTTTTCTAAGGTCTTATCAAGTTGTTTTAGGAGGAAAATTGCTTTACCTTGACTTAATTTTTTTCTGCCATTTTGAGGTGATATTTTGTCTTGCTTCTGGGGAAAATTTGGAGAGCCTAATATTTTTTGTCCTATTCCATCATCTCAGAATCTTCTCTTTGTGGTATATGATTATGATAGAATACTACTGTGCTATAAAAATGATAAACAGAATGGTGTATTCTTGCCATTTCTTAATCTTTTCTGCACCTGTTAAATCACTACCATTTTTTGTCATTTATCATGCTCATTTTTATATGAAAAATTTTGCTTGATAGCTCTAATTTTCTTGAAAAGGTCTCATCTTTCCCATTTAATTTTCTCTTTTTTTTATGCATTGCTCATTTAAAAAAAAATTCTTATCTGTCATTACTATTCTCTGGAATTACTCTTTCACTTGTTTATATCTTTCCTTTTCTCCTTTACCTTCCACTTTCCTTCTTACCTCAGGTTTTTGCAAAGCCTCAGCAGACATTTAGCTTTCTTGCTTTTCTTTTTCTTTGAGATGTTGTTGTTTTTTCTGCCAATACTGCTTCCTGTACAATATTACAAACCTCTGTCCATAGTTCTTCAGGAGCTCTATCAGAGCTAATCCCTTAAACTTATTCATCACTTCCACTTCATATTAATAACTGATGTTATTAAGGTAATTCCTGTAAGATCTGATGGTTTTTCCCACTCTCTTCAATTTAAATCTATATTTTGCAGTAAGAAGCTTAGGATTTGAGCCATAGTCAGCTCTAGGTCTTGATTTAACTGACTGTATAGAGTTTCTCAAACTTTGAATGCAAAGTATATAACCAATCTGATTTTTATGTTGACCATCTGGTGATGCCCATTTATAGAATTGCCTTTCAAGTTCAGATTTCTGCCCTGTTTCATTTAGTACTCCAAGGCCAAACTTTCCTTTTCTTGCAATTATCTTTTTAATTTCTTCTTTAATAATCTAATCCCCTATAATGAATGTGACATTTTCTTTGTTGTTTTATTTTTAGAAAATAGAATTGAGCAACTTTGACCTCTTTAGCATCAGTGGTTGGAACATAGACTTGTATTACTATAATGTTGAATGACTTACATGATTTCACTGGTAAAATTAATATCACATTACTTGCTTTCATAATGGATGGAGAGAGATTAAAGGGAGGGAGAGATTTCAGAATTCAATGATTTAAATATTTAATATATTTATATATTAATTATATTTTATTATATTATAATTAATATATTTAAATGAGAGGCCACATGGAGAAAAATAGGACTAAAGGAGAATGACTCCAGCTGCCTTTGGTAGTATCCTAGAGAACCCAATTATTAAGTACTTCTTATATATTAGGCATACAATGGGGAAAACAATAATTATTTACAAGTTGAATAGAAATTATGCACAATTGATATCTTGTAGATTCTATAAAATGTGCTACCATTCATTTTCCCCTTCTACCTTTTCATTTGACATTCATCTTCATGATTTAGAAGGGTAGGAGTGGGAATAAAACTACAGCTGGTAATATAACATTTATTTTTTAAAGCATTTACTCAAAATATTTTTTTCAGAAATCTGACCTAGATACATTGTGTGTAGGTTTTTAATAGAAAAGAGTTGACTTTAAATGAGTTCCTGCTTAGGTATCATTCTTGACCCATATTATATTTCATGGCTATGTACTACCTGCTAAACTTTTTTTCTTTTACCTATAATTTAAAAATCATTTTCATTAATTCAGTGTCAGTTACTGGCATGAAAATATGCTATTTAATCAGTAAGAAACTTGATGCCAACTTAGCTTTCCCACCCCTTCTTAAATAGGCACTTTGTACTAGATTGTGCTGAATATAGTAACCTATCAGAAATGCACTGTGACTATGGTACAGAATTCAACATAAAGACAGTAGATGAGAACCTCAAGGTCAAAATTCAGGTGTTAATAAGAACAGAGATTTTCAAAGCTTTCTTAGGTCTTCTGTTGAATTCCCAGATGTTCCAGGCTTGTAAAGGCAAGGAAAAGGGCAAGAAGAGGTTATTTCTCCACAGTATGATGGTTTTTATTTTATTTTCATGTATACCATATCTCAGTATCATTCAATACACTCAGACATCACTATGTTTTTGACTGCACTTTGTAGGACTAACTTGAATCAATAAGAGATCAGAATGAACTGCCTTGACCTTAAGTTTATTTGCTCTTTGCCTTTTAATTATGAGGAATTATCATCATTTTAAAGGAAAATTTGAGAACTCAAACCTTACATTCAAGAATGTGAAGTCATTTAGAGAGGTACGGCTCATGGGAAAATACAAAGATAGTGCTTCAAGATGAGCATAGAATCACATTTGAATATCAAACAAATAAATTGACATTGCTATACAAATTACAGTAAGTCTAAATTGCTTTCCCAAGTATAGATGACACTGTCGCCTGGGAAACAAGCTTGCATGGTATACGTATGGGCTTTACATTGATTTTAAAATGTTTCTTTCCTTGTATCCCAAGACACATGAAGGAATAATAAAATCAGTTTTCTTATATAAAATGTATAATTGTTTTTATTTTTAACTCCCCTCCCTCCCCCCAAAAATCTGACAATTGCTGTATTTATAATATAAGGAAGCTGGGTTAAACTTCTTGTGAAAAGATGCAAGTTTTTCAAATATATATGTATGTGTCTCACTTCAGAAGCCTCTTCCCAGCCATAGACACTGACTAAACTCTTTCATTGAGCACCACAAGGAACTTTGCCAACCTCATGCTTCCATGATAAAAGGGTTATATATTTACTTTCCTCTCAGAAGGAAAAGGAAATATGAAATATGATAATGACTAAATAGCTTCTCAGATTTGGTTGATTTTTTTTTCTTGTTACTTGTGTTGACTGTTCAATAACTACTTCCTGAGAATGCAGTACTAATCATGGCTTAGGTCAGTCTTTCAGAGGAGTAAAGGCTGACAGATACTGGGTAGGTATTTGGCTCAAAGAAATTGTATGCGATCAAGATATTTGTGAGCATATCAATAACTTCCTTTTGATTCCAAACTGCAATTTCAAAACAACTTTATGAGCACTTATTAGACATAAAATGCATTTTGAATACAATTCCCTTTTCATAATTAATATGGTGTAAGAATTCTAGAAAGGCACATAGCTGACCATGAGAATTAACGGAGAGAAATTTAAGGCAAAGAGATCATTAGGAGATTGTTGCAATGTTTGATGAAGGCCTCTGGCGTCAGTTGTGTGAGTAGAGAGAAAAAGTTAAGTGTGAGTGATGCTGTGAAGTAGAAACACCATGATATGGTAACTGATTCAAATGTTCAAATCCAGCCTCAGACATTTATTAGTTGTGTGACTTTGGGCAAATGATTGAATTTCTGTTTGTCTCATATTCCTCATCTGAAAATGGGAATAATAGCATCTACTTGCCACAGGTATTGTAAGGATCAAATGAGATCATATTTTAAAACACTTAGCACAATTCTCCTCCTCCTCCTTCTTTTTACTATGTGAAGCAGAGTGAGAAGTCAAGAATGACACATTTAATTCAGTTACTCAACAAGCTTTTATTAAGTATTCATGATGTGCCAGACACTGTGAAATGCATTTTGCATACAGCTACAAGTAAAAGAAAGATAGACCTTGTCCTCAATGAGCTTACATTACAATGATAGAGGACAACACATAAAAATGAAGTGGAATGATGGAGAGAGGTATGGGAAAGAAGGTACCTTGGCAGAAGCATTATCCTTTTCTTCATTTAAGATAGATTAAGTGTGACTTGAAGCTCTCTACAACCCTGGCAACTGTTCTCCTTTATGGTAAGATAATAATTGATATCTATATAGCACTTTCAGGTTGATCTTGTTTTTTGTCCTTGGGGAAAAGGATGGAAAGGAACAATGTTAAAAAATAATTTAATGAAAAAAAATAGGAACATTGATTTCTTACCATTAATTTTGGTTCATCAGTCTTAATACAATCACTAAAGTACACTGTGATCCTGTGTTATCACATGGAAAGTACTGTGACATATAAAAAGTTTGAGAGATGTAGTTTCTGGGTAATTAATTATTTTATTAATCATGCTAGCACATAATAAAAGGGGTCAGTGGCACTCTTGAATGTCAAAGACCCCTCATTGAACTCACTCAACACTTACATGCTCTTGGAAAAGTGGATATTCCTGAGGGTGTCAATCAATTCTGATTGGCTAACAAGTAATGAAAGAAGGAATAGTATAATGAGAGGTGGGCTTATTCTAATGAGCATCTGGGGTACATGACTCAGATCACCAAGTCTCAGTCAAAGAGACTTATCTATATCCATATCATTTTGTCTAGAATAATCTAGACAGAAGGGGGAATCCACTTCTACCCAAAACTGTCTGCGTAAAGCACAATTGGCCAGAATTCATCAATTCACTTAAATGGAAATATCTTTACCTTTTGAACAGATCTGAGTTTTCCCAGTGGGGTGTGTCTGCTCAAGATTTCATCTCTTCATCAGCCCTGCCCTTCAAAGGTTTACTGAATAACCTACAGGGGCCAATTTCTAAATGAGGAAAAGGAAGGGGAGGAAGAAAAGAAAAAGGAATTAGTACTGATTCAATAATTGGCTATTAATATAGAAGAGAAAAAATCATTTCTCTCAGCATCTGACTATGAAAAAATAAACACAATTACATATAATATACAAGAAAGCTATGGAACAAAACCATTTGTCAGAGAATGGGAAGGTTGAACATATTCTTTGCAACTTACATTTTGTTTAGCATTACTTATAGCATACTATTAATTTTTTTCTCAATATTAAGAAAGAAAAAAATTCACAAGTGGGCTATATCTATATTTACATTTATAAGTATATATACATATATATATGTATGTGTATATATATGTATACACACACACATATACATAGACACATACACACACATGATATTATTCCTTAGCAAGTAACAGCAAGTAATTATATAGTTGTTGAGGAAAAGGGTGAGAATGAGTTTTATTTTAAAAAATAGACCTTATTCAAAGTAGGTACAGGCTAAAGCAAATTCTTAACTTTTTCCCAGAATTCTAAATGTATTTTAGTAGAAATTTAGTTAAATGTTAATTTGATTTAAAATGACTTATAATAATGGTTTCCAGAATATATATTTCACTTCTGCTGGCAGTGTTTCTGCTTTTAGTTCTTTGTCCTTATTTTTTTTTTTGTCCTTGATTTCTGTGTCACAAAATTGAAGGGATGGAGACAGTGATTAATATAATCTGGACTCTAATTCCTTCTGGAAAGTACAGCTTCTGCCTCATTGTATTAACTCTTCCTAGAAACATAGAGGTAATTATTGTCTACCAAAAATAAAGTTCAAGGTCAACGAAAGACTGATCTATGGATTTCATTTCAGAAATATTACCCAGTTCTATATCATGAAATCTTCATTAGACATAGAATAGATACAAATTATCTCTAGTCAGTAAGGCTTATTATGAATATTTACAACATTTATATTGTATATAAAAATAAATAGATACTATAAAATAACCCTAAAAACTCAGTCTACTGCAATGCTTCATGGTAATTTATAGAATCTAATGGATGAAAGATCATCCAATCTTCTCTACTTGAAATACTTTTCTCTGATACTACAGCTTAGCTATAATAGCTTATGTTAGTAATGGAGCTCATTAAAATTCTGATGTCCAGGAAAAAAAAGACCATATCTGAGTTAAAGAAGTTTGATGAGTGAGATATGTTATGTAATATTGTCTCTAAAAGAGACATAATTTGTTATTATGCAGAAACATGATTTGTATAAAACCATTATGGAAGTGGCTGTACTGAAACAAACCTTTTGTTGTTGTTGTTGCATTTTTTTTCTTTTAACTTAGATTTCCTTTCCCTTTCCTTCACTATTTTACCTCTTGGGGAACATATGAACTACTTTTTCTTAAATACATTAATGAATCCATGATTTAACTATTGCAGATCATGCCCCACCTGTTCCTTCATACTTGTGAGCTCTTCAGTTCAGGTATTTTTCAGGTAAAGAACAACTCCACCAATATAGTTCAACTCCTCTCCTACCTTTTATTATTTCAGAGAGTTGTCTGGGAGTACTGAGAGCTTAAGTGATTTACATGGGTTATCCAGTCAGTAAGTATAAGGCAGGTACAAGATTGGAATCCAGATCTTCTTGACTCCCAGGCTGGTTCCCTATCCACTCTGTGACCCTGCTTTTTAGGTTTCTTTGATTATGTAACTGTAGTCCACATTTTTTCATAATTGCTCCACAAATGATCTATCCAAAATGTCTTTGTCTTTTAAATATTATATGCAGAAGGAAGGGAGGCAAGACAGCGAAGTTGCAGGAAGCAATGTAGTTGATCTCTTTCCTGTCCACAAAACTTCTCCAAATACCTAGAAAATGCATCAGACCAAATCCTGTTGGGAAATTTCAGAAGTCATATGAATAATTTGTCCAGCCAACGTCATATTGGGGAACAGAAAGGGAAATCTGTGGGCAGGGGTGAGTAGGGATGGGACAGGAGCACAGACCACCATCATGTCCACTCATTGCCCAACTTGTGCACCAGGGCAATAGAAGATCCAACACCCATACAAGGGCACCCTCCACCCCAGACTCAGGCTGGGGCACTGCAATGGGGAAAGGTATCAACTAGAAGCTTTGGTGCCTCCTACCCACCAGGTCACAGACCCAGAGAAGACTCACAAAGCATCCTGCATACAAGAATGGTATACCTGGTTAGGGAAAGCATGGGAATTGTGCTGAGGAAGAAGAAAATTCAGAAGCAAACAACAATGGATTGGTTCAGATCTATCATTCTGAATCAGCCAAATTCCTAGCTAGCTGATAAGAGCTAAGTCAAGCATCAATATATTATTGTTCTGACAAAAACACAGCTCTGGAACTTGCAGAACTCAGACCAGGGATGAAGCAATTTGACTTTGATCTGGATCAGATAACTTTGTGAAAACTAAAAGCTTACAGGTCCCCTGAGATCTAGTAGACACAAAATAGTCAACAACTCAAGAAAACAGCAGTAAGATCAGCCTAGACATTCACTCCAGAAGTTTGGCAGAGCCCAGAATTAACACCAAGTAAAAATAAAACAAAACAGAATAAAACTAACCAAAATGAGTTATTATGGCAGCAAGGACACTCAAGATACAAATGAAGAAGAGAATGACTCAAAAACATTTATGAGTAATACTTCAGAGAAAAACATATCTCAGGCACAAAATTAACTAGAATTCCTTGGAAAGGTAAAGCAAGAGATTACAAAAGGAATGTTTTTTTTTAAATAAATGAAATGAGAGAGATGGGGGGGAAGGGGGAAATAGAGAAAGCTATGGCAGAATGAATTTAAAAGGGAATTAGCAGCTTAGCCAAGAGATACAAAATCTTGTTCAAGTAACAAATTCTGAAAATTAGAATAGGTGAAATAGAAAACAATGACTACATGAGAGCACAAGAAATATTAAAAACAAAGTTAAAATCCAGAGCTTTCAGGCCAAAGTAAAAAATATTGTAAGTATCCAGAAAGAAAGAATTTAAGTACCAAGAAGTCACAATCAGGATTACACATGATTTAGCAACCACCACTATAAAGGAAAAGAGAACTTGAAATATGATTTCCAGAAAGCAAAGAATGTAGACTTACAGCCAAGAATAAGTTACCTAGCAATACTGAGTATGATAATACAGAGGAGAAAATGGATCTTTAAAGGAATAAAGAACTTCTAAGCATTTCTGATGGAAAGACGAGAGCTGTGTAGAAACTCTGAAGTTCAAACATAAAAGTTAAGAGAAACATAAGAAGGTTAACAAGAATAAAAAATAACTGACTAACCATAGAAAAATTCTTTCTCATCTAATATAGGGAAATGATTCATGTGGTCCCACCTTTCCCTGCCCCCAGCCCTATTATCATTAGGAGTCTTCAAGGTAGTCTAGTGAGATAAAGCCTAGGAGTAACTCTGTTATGTCACAATCAGAGGTTCCCAAACTTATTTGGCCTACCACCCCCTCTTCAAAATAACCAAAAAAATACTCAAACCCTCCCCCCCCACGGAAATCTACTTTCTTTAACCCTTTACCAGTTTTTTAAAAAATTTGAGCCATTTCAAAAAATAAGATTTTTTTTAAAATTATGAACCTTGAATTTAATAATTTATTGTAAATTTGTGGGTTTTTTCCTCTATTGAAATTTTGATGATGCAATGTTGTGCCATGTAACTGTATAGTGTTATATTGTAAAGAAGTCATTACACACATATTCCTGCTGATGCATGCTTGACTTTCCAGCAATGTGGCAATACACTAACCTGCCAACATTTGCTTATTTAGATCTGTTGGTGGGCTTGACCACTGATTGATTATAACTTGCATTTTGTGTGTTTATTTGGAAAATAATATACTTTAACTCTGTTATACAACAGATGGAACATGTACAGATGTGGTTTTTTTCAAATTTTTCTTCTCTTCTTTCCTTATGCTCCCACTTTTATTTTTATTTTACATCCCACAATTACACCCAAGGCTACTACCACCCCCTGGATCATTCCAGCACTCGCCCTCCCCCCGAGGAAAGTATCACCTGCTATGGAAACCTATGAAATCTTGAGAATCAAATGGAAAGAAAGGGAGAGAGGAATACATTGGGGGAGGGCAGAGGCTAGGGAACATCTTCTCATAATTAGGGCACATAAATAGACGTTTATACAAAGAAGTTGAAAAGTAAATGAAGCAGCTGGCACTGAAATCTGACTCTCATCTGAACTGGTTAAAGAAAGGAAGAATACGTGCACATATATGCTCATAGAACTGGGTACAGAAATACATTTCACTCAACAGAGAAATAGGAGGGAAATTAAAGAAGAAGTGATAACAGGGAAATTAGAGGGAGTGAAATTTAAGGGAGGGGTTAGTCTTAAGCAAAACAAATTCTTAATTATCTAGAAAAATTATACCCGTTTGAAGTAGCAAAGAATGGGGACATGAGAAGGTACTCATAAATTGGAGAACAAATGAAAAAACTATGATACAAAAATATGATGGAATACAATTATTTTATGAGAAATGAAGAAAGGGACATTTCACAAAAACCTAGGAAGATGAGTAGGAACTGAGGCAGAGCAATGTGAGGAGAATCAGGAGGTGAATTTATATAATAACAGCAAGATAGTAAATGTCAAACAACTTTGAAAGAACTTAATACAATGAGGCAGAAGCTGTACTTTCCAGAAGGAATTAGAGTCCAGATTATGTTAATCACTGTCTCCATCCCCTCAATTTTGTTTTACAGAAATGAAGGACAAAAAAAAATAAAATAAGGCCCAAAGGGGCTATAGTATGGCATAATTCTCTGTAACCAGCCAAATGGTTAGACCTGGTTCAGTTATGTAAAAATTGGTCTTTAATGAGAGAGAAATTCATTCTTTTATACTCACCACTCATTACTTCATCAACTCAGTACCTAGAGAAAGATTATACTCAAATTACTATTTCAAATTTCACAACAACACTGGAT